CGCTCGTCGTGCTGGTTCGAGACGGAGGGCGACCTCCCGCGGCTGGCCGGGGAGGCGCTGCTGGCCGAGGCGGCCGCGACGGGCGCGAGGCGGATCGCCTTTGACGCCGTCGCGGCGCGTCTCGAGGCGACCGCGGCGCCGCCGCCGCCTCTCGGCACCGCTTTGGCCGCGTGGCCCACGGGATGGGGCATCGAGGAGGGCAACTTCTGCGGGCTGGCGCACTGGGCTGTGGAGGTGTGGCACGCGGCCGGGTCGGTCGACGCGAGCCGGTGGCAGGTCGAGGCTGACGGAGGGCGCCTCTTCTTTGTGCGGGTCGCGGAAAAGGCCGCATAATCGCGCTCTCCGCCGAGGCCCGCCTCGGCGACGGCGCTCGCCGCGCAGCAGCAGGCCAGCAGCAGTAGCAGCAGCAGCAGCAGCACGTGATTCTTGACACATGATTACACTACACAGTCCTCCCTTCGGTTGTCGTTTCGACCCTGTTTTTTCTTCTATCGCAGCGCACTCGCATCTGTGAGCCTAGCGCAGCGCGAACTCGCCGTCTGAGCCTAGCGCAGCGCGAACTCGCTCTGAGCCTAGCGCAGCGCCTCGGAAAACACCATTTTGGCTCGCCAACAAGCCCTCCGCGCCCCCACACCGTTAGGATAATACATTTTTTCCGTCTCATAGCTCTCGGCGCGGCGCAGTGACCACACAACACACACACACATCTCGGCGCGCCTTTGCCTGTGCGATGGCAGATAGCTGCACAGTCCTCGTCGAGAACCTGCCGGCGGACGCCTCGCGGGAGGACCTCTCCACCTACTTTGGTGCGGGACCAGAACACGACACGACACTGCCCTCCACAGTCCGCAGCCACCGTGCCCTCCCGCGCCCGCCGCAGCCTTCCACGGCCACGTCGAGAAGGTCCTGCTAGACGGCACGACCGCACTAATCACGTTTGAGAGCGGCGCGAGCGCCCGGTCGGCGCTGCTCTTTGACGGCGCCGAGTTCCACGGATCGGCGATCGCTGTCGCGCTGGATGCGGCCTGCGTCGACCCGATCCGCAGGACGCTGGCCGACGGCTCGGGCTCGCCCTCGGGCGGCTCCGGCGGAGGTGTGGGTGGGACCATTCCTCCCCGATCTCCCCACGCGCCTCCCCCCTCCCCGCCCCACTTCTCCTCCCCACCGCTCCTCCCCTCCTCTCCTCCCCGACGCCGCCCGCAGGCTCCTCCTCGCCCGATGAGTGCTGAGTGTCGCAAGACAGCGACGTCGCCGCCCAGACCGCGGCCGCCGCCGCCGCCGCCGCTGACGCAGACGCCACCGCCGCAGCCGTCGCCGC